TTGTGGCTACAGCTTGGGAGGGTTTCTGTCTGTGAATCCTTCAACCGTCAGAGCTTTTCCCCTTTCAAGTCCAATTCGTGTACATTGTGTGCAAGCTGTGAATCCACATGCCTTTTGTCAAATGTGAAATGACTGGCCTGATGGTGCTGTTGCCAACACTGTGAGTTGCAAACTCAGCATGCACAAGGCGAGAACCTGTATGGTGGGAGTGGGTATACTGCCCGTCTTCGCACAGATTGGTATGGATGATTGAAAATTGTGCAATGGCCGCAGAGCTGCTGACAGTGGTGGGTGGTGATGGAGACGGCCACGGTTCTGGCGACAGCTAATGCTGCGGTCAAGTCTTGCTGCGAGTGTGCCTGGCCCCTACTCTTGGCCCTGCCCAGCCCAGCTTTGGACAGCCCCTTCTTTACCTTCACCTCTGCCCGTTGGCTGGCGGGGATGACTTGAGCAGACCGCAGGGGCAACTTCCGCGCGTAGACTCGCGATCCCAACCTGCGCAGCCAAGGATCGACCCGCATTCTTAACTGCTGCATTCAGCGCGATAGCAGCCCTTACCGCCAACGCCGCTCCCACCCAATGCGTGACCGGCGCTGGCCCGAGAATCGGCATCAAGCATCCGAGACCTATTCTTTGCAGTCTAACGAATAGGATTCTTCTGTTGGTTGGCCGAATCATTCAATGGGCTGGACAATGGGCTACATAACAATTGCACACAAGGAAAGTGCGCTCTGCAGGACATCACGGCCATCCGCCCGGGCGCCCGTGACAACCGGCATCGAAATGCAACTCAGCATCGCGGGGCGCCGCGCCCGCGATCGGCGCCGGGGCGGCGCCTCTGTTTGACGGACGGTTGGGCGCACCTGTACGCCACGCGAATCTGGCCCTGTCCCCCTCCGACGTCCCCCTTGTCCAGCCACAGGCCGGTGCTGCGGCAGACAGCCTGTAGCCACAGCCACAGCCACATCCCGCCGACTCACGCCACAAGCCCGGGGCGTCAATCCGCGCAGTTCGCCCGCGGGTCACCGGCAGGAGATCGCCACCATCGCCCCAGCCAGCCGATCGCGCTTGGCGGAGACGTCCGCCGCGACGGCGGGCGTCTATCCACCGCGGCCGGCAGGGCGTTGGAGCGATCGGACCAAGGCCCGCCGCGGAGTCGAGGCCCAGGATCCAGGCGCCCAGGCGTTATCGCATCCGTGCCCCGTCACCAAAATCGCCCCAAGTCCCTCTCCCCGCGCCCAGCGACGTCCCCAACCCCGCCCCCGCCCAATCTCAAACCGCCCCAGCGACAGAAACCAGAAACTGCCCGTTTCTGGCGCCCCCGGCCCTTCCCGCCCAAGTGGCCCCCCTCCCGCTGACCGTGGGCCTCAGGGCCCCCCCCACCACCTTACCCGCCCCCCGGTCAACTCACCGGCAGTTCTGCCTGCGAGCAGATCGCCACCAGCAGGCGGCGGCCGCCGAACGGCCGCTCAGTCCTCCAGCAGAGGCAGCAGGCTGCGGCGGATATGGCTGCGTGGGCGCGGGCATCCATCGGCGGCGCCCGCGGCGGGGCGGTTCAGGCGGGGGCCCCGGGGCGGTGGCACCATCCTTCCTGGGCGGAAATGCAGGAGGGCCGGGAATGAAGCGGCCAAATGGGCGCAGGCAACAAGACACCACACCGTGACCAGTACCTGAACCTAACCAAATCTAAACCAAATCTAAAAAACCCTCACAAAACCAAACCGCAAAAAAGTCTGAAAGGAGGTTTCCTTACCCTAAACCCCAACAAGCCTAAACCAACCATAAATGCCCTAAAAAACGCAAAGAAAGCTAAAGCCTTAACAAAACTAAACCATTAAAAAAGGCAAAAGAAACAATGAATTTTCAAGGCTTCAGACGAGTCAGACGAGTCCCAAAACAATACTGGTATTCGTTCCTGCACCGGTACCAAGACCGGTACCGGCCCCTGTATCCGTCGTAGTCTCGGTTCTGGTCTAACGTCTATGTGTCGGGAATATAGTGATTCGGTCAGGGGTCAGGGGCAATGCGGCAATTGGCGTTTTGGCAACCGTATCTCAGGCGTATTGGAGACAGCAAAATACGGCATGTGGGACGGCCGTTGGGCTGAAGTGCACACGCCCAGCGCGTGTCTGCCGGCGAGGGACTGCGTCGATGTTGACACTGTGTGCGGTCTGGCCGCTGAAATCCTGGGTCTTTGGCGGGTGTTGTACCAACAATTTCGTAATCAAGTTGACGAGTGAATTGCATTTCATAGATAAGAGTATCGCAGCGTGAATGAACTATTGTCATCATGTATGGTGGGGCTCCTATTATGAGTACGTACTTTTACAGGAGATACATCTTTCGAATTCTGATCTTCTTCTACGTTGTCACAACGAAATCTCTGTTCGAATAGGAAGCAGTGAATTGGGGACAAAGAACATCTATATATTGAACATTCTGGGACAGACAATTGCATGTTTGAGGGTGATTTCTTCGCGGGTGCTCTTTTTGTCTCTGGCTCTCCGGCGATGTGTGGTTTGTGTGCCCTTTTGGCCAGCACTGTGAGCACCTTGTGGACAGAGCTGTCCAAAGGACAAGCGTTATCAGTAGCAACATGAGGCTGAATATCATCAGAGCCCAGCAGAGAAACGGGTCATGACATGCCGTTTTCGCTCGCACGGACACATTGTTGTTCATCCACAGTAGTCAAACACCGCGTGTTGCTCAACAATGCGGCCGATTGTGCCGAGCTTTGCTTCTCCAAGGATCACCATGCCACCGGTTGACCGCTCCTGCCCTTTTGTCCCGCTTGTGTGTCCCAGAGTTGCTCTACAATTCCTGCATGCTGGCGGCGCGATGTCTCAATTCCACGAGCGCATGACAGTACAAGGTGAGTCAGAGGAAGTCGATGAAGGTAAGCGAGGTAGTTGAGTTAAGTGCGCAGCACGACGCCCAGGATGTTATGAACATCCAGCAATGTTGATTCTGTCCACACAAATGTGTTGCGGAAAATCTTCTTGTGGCGCAGCTTACTTCGAAATATGTAGACGCTGCAGTGTTTTTGGCAAGATTTTCCTGCAAATGCGCTTGGAGACCTTCTTCGAAGTTGTGCGGCGCCACGTGTTACAACATTGCAATGTTGTAAGGAGGGGCGCCGCGCAATTGGGCGCCTTCATTTAACCGCGGTCTCTCCAGATTATGCATTCAGTATAGCGGTAAACGTTGCATACCTCAAGTTGAACAATCCGTTGTTGCTTGTGTTGGCTTCATGATGCACAGGCAGGCTGCTTTGAAGGTGGCTATTGGCCTGCGGCATGGAGGGTGTTGATTCTGGGCATATTTGGAGATCTGCTTGTGCTGGATGGGGCCACTACGCTTCCTGCCGTCTACATTGCATCATTCTTATCAACAACAGCAGCCCCACAGGTATGGATATACGGCTGTGGAATCGATGGCAATAAAATTGTGGCTAAGTAGAAGGACAGACTGCGTGGGGCGACAAATTCGCAGCATTTACACTCTCCGTAGTAAGTGTTGTCATCTTGGCGGATCGACAATTGCTAAATCGGGTGAGCGACGTCCTCACTCAGCCACGTTTACGAGTGGTCAGTTTCTATTGCATGTTGTTGCCACAATTTTGCCCTGCTCTTTTCTGTAGGCCATTGCAGTCCAAGGACAAGTCAGAACGCAGAACAGTGGCCGGGCCTCAAGCGTCGTCGCTAGAATGCCAGAGTCTTCATGCTGTCGCCAGTATCAGAAACAGCACAGATCAACACCACATGTCTTTAGCTCTAAGCGCCCCTCATCCCCAGCCTTCTGCGCCGTCGCCTCGCTCTCGGCACAGCTTCACGATTGGGCCACAGCTTGCTCGCAGCTTGGCACCACCGTGCACCACCGCTGGGACCCGACTGGCCTGACCACGCTGAGAATGGCATTCTGCACCCCATCATCGCATATTGCCTCACCATCTCCGATCCCACCCGCTCACACGGGTCGCCATCATCATCATCCTTTGTGCAGAACAAGGCGATGAACAAGGCAATGTGTTACACGGGTCACATGTGTCATGAGGGCTACCTCATTGCCGTGTAGAATAAAACTGAATGATGGTGATTGCCCACTGGTGACGTTCCCGTTCCGTAACGGAACATCACTCCCGTTCCGATACCCGTTGCTTTTTGTAGGCAGGTATCGTTAACAGCCCTCCCCGGACGGGCATTCCGTAGTCCTGCCCGGCTGTCACAATCTTCCGTGGTCAGGTGCCATGTTCGGTCCCTCTCGTACAGGTCTGGAGGGCAATGCGGCCTTTCCCAGCACGTGCTTAAACACCGCTGTCATTTCCGCGTTTGGAGCTGCCGCAACCAGCGACAGACATTCGAACGTGCTCGGCGATGCAGTGTGAAGGTGGATATCAGCGTCAGCAACAGTTTCTGTAACGCGCAGCTATTGAAGTGCAGTCCTGAAGTTCTTCTGGCGTCTCTTCAGACTCCTCTCCTGGCACGAATTCAGAGGTCGAATTGTTCCTTTCGTTGACGACTTTGTCACTGCCCTTGCTGCCCGAAGCAACGAGCGCCGGCCATTTCTGTTACTCCACGGCGCCTTGTGCAAAGGGCGACCCGTCGCCTTCCAAAAGCCCAACAGCTCCAAGGCCGCCAAGCTTCCAATGACTGCCCTTGAACCCCGTGAACTTTACTAATAGAAAGCACAACAAGACAAAAACCGGACCTCGTGGCCGAAACGGCCTCACGCTGATTCAAACCACGGGCGCACCTTGGCGCATCTCCCTTGGCAGAAATCCATCAGCAAGATTCTCAATCCCAGAAATCATAGACTGTGTGCCAAAACCTAAACTCAAGATAGGGCCGAGCACAAATTATCAACGTCACCCCATTGCAGCCCTTCAGCTCTGATTCTCCACTCAATTCATCACTTTTTTTGAGGCATGTAGGCGACTTCAAAGTGCAACTGCTTCACTCCGCGGTGCTCACTCCTGCGGCAGTCGTGGGTGAAGCAATCGATTACCTCTTGATTCCCATGACAGACCTGTGCCTGTGAGTAACGGGCACATACTGCACATTTTCAAACCCCTCCGACTCCATCATCCCCTCGAAGTCCATGGAGAGGTATTCATCATACCAGGGCTCCATCGATTTCCGCAATGTGTATAACAGGGGAGGGGTGTTCTGCATCACCCTGCAGTGCACAGAGAAGCGAGCATTTGCTACGTCGCCGTTCGAACGAATGAAGAAATGCATTTGCACAGGATGCGTGAAAGCGACACACCGATCATGGCAAACCATGTGACACAACTGCCGAGCTCATATCTTGAGGCAGTGTCAGGCCTGTACTGTCCAACAAGGTCTTCACAGTGATGGTCAAGGAATTTTTAGTCCCCGCGTTCTCAGAGCAAATACAATTTCATTGTTTCATGTTTCCAGCCGGTTTCCACTGCATTGAAAATGACGAACGCCTGACATGCCCAGAACGAGTCACTGCGCCGGTTTAGTATGCCACGGATCAAATTGCTGCTAGAACATTACGTAGTTGCCACCAATTGACATATGCTATGATGAGGTCAAAACCTCACCTAGTTCGCGCAAATCCATTGCGAAAATCTCTTTGGAGCGTCAAATAATGAGGGCGACCAAACGTCTCACTTGATAGTATCCAGGACGGTCAAGTGTACTTGTTTGTTGCTTGCAGGCCATTTGCAACCACACCAAGCAACCATTGCCCAACACTTGAAATTCTTGCAGGTGAGCCAAGTGCAAAACCCTTGTGCACCTGGCGATGAATCCAATTCAGTGTCAGAGTTGCACTCCAGTACGTCCAGCACGACAGGAAGTGGATGCTAGTCATGGTTGCAGGTAACAGCGAGGTGCATACTGCTATACAAAAACAACTGATGCGACCCACACATGCACACACCTCGATCGCGGGTCCAGATCCGTGACAGCCAGCATGCCTCCTGGCCTGAGCAGCCGCCTGGCTTCTCGAACGATGTCCACTGTGGTTGCAGCAGGGCACTCATGCACCACAAACTGCATATTGACCAGGTCATATGACTTGGAAGGGAGCCCTGTTGCCTCAGCATTGCTGTGCACGTACCGAATCCTGCGCCCTGGCCGCTGATCGGTAGTTTTCCTGCAGAAAAATGACACTGTCTGCAATAACACCCCCAACAGCGATGTCGAGCATGGGGAGATTTGCATCTTCAGCTAGGAAATTCAACAAAGAGAATCGATAATGAATCAACAAAGAAAAGTGGTTTTTGATGCAGTATGGCTAAAGACATCCAGTTTGACAAAAGCACAAACAGTGGGATTCTTTATCAATGCAATCCTCAGCACGTACACCAGCTATTCCCCAACAATCACCAATATGCAAGGAACTGCACTGAAAGAAACACATGAGCCTCATCAAATCAAGGTGGGATTCACGAACAAGCTGTGTCCAGTAAGGGAGCAGAAATAGCAATCAAGATGAAGTTCAGCAACGTCCACACGTCATACCAGGAATTATGCTATCTTGCCTCCCAACTCATAATGTAAGAATAGTACTGTCACAATTGGCAATCGTCATAGTGCTAAGAAGGCAACACTGATTGTGTTGGGCACAAGACCAATCAGTGCCTTTTCGCCCGTCATCCACCAATGGGACTGAGCAGGGACTGGTCGGTGAACGACATGAGCAGCTGCCAGTCTATCTCCACTCACCTTTCACAAAGCTCAGCGACACTCAAGAAGTAAGGTGAGAGGTCTAGGCCAGTACAGGAGGCAGAGGGGAAGGCCTCTGCAAGCCATCGCGTGCTCATCCCAACAGAGCAGCCCACATCAAGGACATCCTCAATGAGCCGGACAGGTGCAGATTTGGTGTATTCCTGCAAGCGAAGCACATTGGTGGCTGAAGCAGAAATCGTGAACTTGGGTGCATTGGTGCTCATGTACAACATCTTGTGTCATCTGTACATCATGAGCACCAAACTGCACATGAATGCCTTGCATGCCACATGGATGACAACAAAGACAAGCAACATGTCACATAATTGGCACTTCAATATTCCCAGCAGGAGGTTATTGTCCAAAGGCACAACTGGCTTCACATCTTTGATCAGGCTCAGAACCCCAACGATCGCAGAAAGACACCAATAGTCCAAGGATGAGTAGAACAGTCAAGGTCACCATGCCTTGTAGAACTAATATACACAAACCAAAATTCCACCACAAGGCATAAGGATGTGCCCATGCAATCCCCAAACCAAGGTTGGGTTGGAGGGATCACCTCTGAAGCTTGTAAACACAAAATATGTATTCCCAGCAAACAGGCCCCATGACCTTTGTTGTTGATGCATGAATATAGTGCATCCTGCACGATGGCACTCACCAAAATAGCACCCACAATGTTGTTTTTCATCCTAGCCATGGCAACTTCAGGTGTGATGTCTTCGTTGTTCCAGTTCCTTAGATAAATGACTTCTGTTGCACTCTCTATCTCGAAAGCTGCAGTCCAACTGAGGTTCCCTTCTTCGTACCCATGAAACTGCATTGTGTAGTATGAAGGATATTCGATGGAGACATCTTCGATTTCTGGAAAGATTTCATACACCTGGCGAGATAGACAAAACCTGTCCAGTACTTCTCCTTAGCCATGTCAGGAGTCAACATCTGTGGCACAGACCACAGGGATCTGGGAGTGCTGTTATGCTCATGGCCACAGAGCCTGAAATTTTTTTCAGATACAAGACCCAGTGACGACTGGCGCGCATGCACTCGTGAACGTCCTGATATTGTGGCGTCCAATCTTCTTTCTTACACCATCACCTATGCAAAAGGGCGACCAGGAATGCAGGCTGGTGCCAAAATGTTCGCAGAGCCGGCTGTTTCCCCCACATTCATGACCGTCAACATCAGCTTCCTTCACTTGATGATCAATGCAAACACGCACCTCTGACGCTTCCAAGTCTTTGCACCTTCTTCTCCATGGCACACCTCTTTTCTCCGCGGTGCTCTTCATGATCCCCTTCGCAATAACCTTCATAGCGCCGAAGAGGGGGCTGTGAAGCGCCAAGTTCACTGCCCTGTTGAGGGGGCTATCGCCTGCCCAATCGACAAGTAAAACTTGCGCCGTGCAGTCACCCTCAAATGGTCGCTCGAAACATCAAAATTGATAAAATGTTGCAGCGCCCGCGATAGTCTGCAAGGTGAGTGGGGTCTGCTTATCGCGCGTTCGTGGAAAATTAATTCCATGGAATTACGGCAGCCACCCCCGAAGCACTGCCGCGCGGGCGCCGTTGTCCAACATCGCCTCATGCACACATCGACGGTCGCAAGGGCAGCAATTCGCGACTCATTCTTGCAAAGGCAGCCACTGCCGATCTCGACAGCTGACCTGCCCGCCAAGGCACCACCGCACCCTGCAGCCCGTACTCTTCACGCTCGATCAACTTTCCTGGCGGAGCGCAATCGACCCATCGGTTCTGACCTAACCAGGGGGGTGTGGATGGCTCGCCGGTGGCCTGCCCCGACGAGGATGCGTCAGCGCGAGTGGGGCCGCGAAGGGCGCGGGGTCCTGCTGCGGTGGCGCGCCAGCCCAGCCGGGGCGCGAGGCGTCCGGTCGCTTCCATGCCGCCTAGACGACCCCCGACGGCAGTTGACGTGTGAGCCATCCCCTGCACCCTTTGGCTGCATCGCAACTGCCAGGGTCAGCAAGTTTGGCATAGAATTACTCCCCGTTCTTGTTTGCTGAGATTCGATTCTTGTTTTCGGACACCCTAAACCCCAACTACTGATCCACGCACCGGGACTGGCCTTGTCAGCGGAATAAGAACCGAATCTCAGCAAACAAGAAGGGGGAGTAATATATTCTCCAGCAAGTTTCCAATTTTGTCACACGTCTGTGTCCTCTGGTGCAAAGGTACTGTCGTTGGGGGCGGAGCTGTTCTTCTGGCGTTCTCTATTATTGTGCTTCCGATGTGAAGTGGCAGGCTTTGGGAGGGGCCGAGCGGCGACGGCTATTTGGCCGCCACCCTCCATCCCCTCTCTTGCCTTGTTTCTCTCCCACACTGTCCCACCACCTCGAGAGTGAAGTTCAGTTTAGGTGTGGGATGGTGACGGAGTAAAGTAAGGTACTGGGTGTGGCATGGGATGAGACAAATTTGTACAAGTTCAACTACCAGCTAAGCCAACGGGCAAAAGTCACTGTGGGAACCTTGGGTTTCCAATGGTGATGGGTACCGATGGAGTCTATACTGCATTGATCAAGCGCGAACATGTGGATAAGTCAAAGGGACTGGTCTGATAGAGCCCTGTGTGTCGCATGCAGCACAGCCGCTAATTTACGTATTTCAGTATTGTCCTGAAAGTACCCACGCATGTCACATAAATCACAACCGATTCATTTTTTCCCCCAGGCTAGATGAGTCTCTTCAAGCTCGAGGAATGCCCTGACGAGCTCGTCAGGGCAAGCGAGGTCGGCCCTAATAGCGCCAGGGCGTGGCAAGTTCTCACCGACCCCACTCACCGCCACATCGCTGTGCCAAGTCCACTCGAGTGGTCTCCTTGAGTTCCATAAAATACTAATCATTCTAAGGATATGATCAACACGGGTAAAGCACAACTGAGTACAGTAGTACTGAGTACTGAGTAGCTACTTGTCTTGAAAATTGTACTTGATGCTCCCCTAGGTCAGTTGTTAATGAGCCATATTAAGATCAGCATTCTCTTTCTGTTTGCAACACTACATAATGACCATTGTTTCATTGGGTTGATCACTTATGCATTATGGTGTGCAACTTGTGTGCACTTCAAGAATATGGTTTATATGCAAGGCATTCTGAATCTATAAAAAGAAAAGAGAAAAGTATTCTAGAATTCACAGAATTATTTCTTTTATGATGGGACTTTTGCGAGCATCACTTTGATTGTTGTTGGAGATGCTATCTGACTCAGAGACAAATGCTATGGTTGGGGCCCCGCTCACAATTGAAACGTTTCTACATTACCATTGACTCAATGGCATTGACTGTATGGGCACCTTTGGCATATGTTTTATGGAGTGGGTTGCATTGTGGCGGCGAGTGGACATCTCTGAAGTGTCGTATGGCTGGTATGGCTGGTTGGTGATGGATGATGGTCCTTGTCATGTGAAAAGAAGAGCTTTGTGAGTGCAAGGAGATTCGAACTGTTTGGTTGCGGGATTCGTTGCCACCGTCCACGAGGCTCTTCATTGTGGAAGGGCGAACAAATATTTAAGCCCCGGGCGTTTTGCATGCGGCCATGTGCCAACGCTATTGAAGCATCAGCGATCATGGCTTCGCCCTTCATATGTGCACTCCAAAGGGGCCGTTTGAGTCGCATCAACCGCCTTTCCTTCAAGATTCCCTTTTTCGTATTTCGATGCAACGGTATCTCATACCGGGGCACAACATGTTCCGATAGATACCCGTTGTCCGCCTTTATCATAAGTGACCCACGAAGAGACATGGCAGTCAATAAGAGGCGTTGCAAAACAAGTAGTTCAATGTAAGTTCAATGTAAGGCGCAACAGCCAACAACGAAGATGTTGACATAAAAGGCCGTTGTTTGATTGTTGCCTGATGCACACCACGGCTGTGTCAGGCCCGTTTGTGTCCAAAAGTGTCATCAGTCAGTTGGGAGACGGTCCAACAGACACACACGCACCCAAAAACAATTCGTGGGAGTCGAGGGTAGCCGAGCGCCTGCGCATCGTCATATGACAGAACTGCACATCGCTTGCCACAAATCGCCTTCAGCATGTGACCAAATGCTCAAGGAGGAGCACCCATAGAATGCACAGAGATTCATTTCCAACCAGTCTCAACCATTCGGAGGTCCTCGCCGCCCGCATTCCTCTCGCATTCTGCAGGCATGGAGCTGCCCGCCTCACTGGTCGGTGCCGGGGATTGCTTGGCACTGCAAATCATCACCTCTTGATGCCCATGATGGACCTGTGCCTATGGTCGACGGGAACGTACGCCACATTCTTGAATCCCTCTGACTCGAACACCCCCTCCAAATCCATTGTAAGGTACTCATCACACCAGGGCTCTGTCGACTTTAACAATGTGAACAGTAGGGGAGGGAGGTTTTGCAGCGTCCTGCATCACACTCAAAATCGAGAAGTCATGTCATCATGTTTAGAATGAATGCATATATATACATACGTATATATGTATATATTTATATATTTACATTTATGGGCGGCTTATTTGGCTTGCAGTCACGGAGTTCATTTATTTTAGAATTTCGGTGCATCGCAATGGTCTGATACCAGGAGGCACCACCGCGTCCTGCACTTCCTGCGCTCGCATGGACTGAGAAATTCCCATATTGGCGTTGCTAGCGCCAAAATTCTGGACATCGTCTGTGCAGAGCCATATGCCCAGCATCACCCCGCACGCTTGTTGGGTGCGTTTCATCATTTGCGACAAGTGTAAGCCACAGATTCATGCTTCACGATCATGCGCATGAAAACCAATGCGACCCATTTCTGCATCACAAACGGTTCGCAGAAACCTGTTCACCACTGTTTCAAGTTCTCAGCCTATGCCCGCTGCATTGACGCTTGCCAGCCACCATACGTAGCTTTTTGGCATTGAGCGCCAATGCACATAGCATTCATCCACCAATAGGTCGCAACGTCGAGGTTGCCCTTAATACTTGGTGTGCTGGCACAGTTGACAGTGGGGAAATGGTATACTGGACTGAGATGCAAAACACCCTCCAGAACCGGGTGATAATATGATTGAGAAACCAGCTGCAAGATATACAGAAAATAACTCTTAACCTGCACTGACTAATTCCTCAAACAGCTATAGAACAGCTAGTTTTGAGGCACAGAAAGGCAACAAGCTCCAATACTTTTTACTACAGTACATACTAACATCATTTCAGACAGACAAAAAATATTGTAATGTACAGTGACAAAACCACTTCAAAATCAAATTAACAAGTGCCAAGCTGAACTTAGGGTTGGAATTGTACCCGATCATGTAATGCATTCTCTTTTAGTACCCGGTCGTTGGCTGTTGGCTATTTGCTCCAATCAAACAGCTTGACCGCACAAGGTAATAATTGTGCCGGTACGCTAGTCACAAATCTTTGCCTCTCTGGTGACGTATGCAACTCAGTACCAGCATAGTGCTCAAGCATATCCAATACAACTAGAAGCAGCTTTTGACCATCGGTGGGGGCAACAGCCAACTGCATACAAAGTTCAGTGACATTTGATGGCAGTGGCCCATGTGCACACCTCGATCGTGGGTCCTGGTCTATGACGGCCAGCATGCCCCCTGGCCTGAGCAGCCGCCAGGCCTCTCGAACAATGTTTACCGTGGCTTCAGCAGGACACTCATGCACCACATACTGCACATTCACCAGGTCATAAGACTTTGAAGGTAGCCCTGTTGCCTCAGCCTTAGCATGCATGTACTTAATCCGGCGCCCTGGCCGCTGATCAGCAGTTCGCCTGTGGAACAAGATATCCGGTACAGAGTCAGGAGCAACACTCTGAAAGAACTTTGTGATGGGGATACCCAGCTCTGCAAATGTGCAACTCATAAAACCAAGTGGACGATTCGATACAGGATGGATGCACATACGCAGATCTTGATGTTGTGCAGGTCATGGCATTATTTTGGGAAAAGGCAAAACTCACAATGAGGTTGGCGCAGTGCATCCAAACAATCGTCCTGCCTAGTCTCCTACCAAATTGCATGAGGCCTGTGCGATCACAATTGGCACAAGCATAAGCGCTATGAGTCAATTCCTTGCTGCTTTTAACTGTCAACATGGACAAATAATTTGCCTTCCACCTACAGGCTACACTGGATCCAAAGGGGACAGGATGACAGCAGCATGGGAAGCATACTTTCATAACTCGCCTTTCAACAAGCTCTGCTACGCTCAAGAAGTAAGGTGAGAGGTCCAGGCCAGTGCAGGAGGCGGAAGGGAAGGCCTCTGCAAGCCATCGTGTGCTCACCCCCACAGAGCAGCCCACATCCAGAACGTCCTTAACTGCCCGTGCGGATTTGGAGTATTCCTGCAAGTTGGTAAGCAGAGCAGAAAAGCATGTACACAGGTGCAGAGTTCTAGGAGCATACAGCAGAATAGGCATGTGCTAGCTCTCTTTGTCTATTTCTGTAGTCTGTGTAAAGAACCATGTTTCAGGACAGTTTCTGAGCACAGGTAAAAATGAGGCAGCCAGAAGGAGCTTCTACAGAAGTGCTTGAGCTTGATTTCCTGCAGAAATTGCCCCAGTGATTTCAACCCTTCAGACAGGGCTAAACGAGCTTGTATTGTGAGTTGGTATCAGATAGCAAGTCTGAGCAGATCAATCAATGATGGTGCCAATCTGCGAATCCGGCATCGCTGCATTTTGACTGTCAGATCGTATTCAACAAGCAAGCAACAACCAGGGTCACAACACAGGCCTTGGTGACACTTGATTGCATGTAGCCAGAAAGACTGAACAGTTCCCTTGCACCCAAGTGGCCTTGTCGGGCCCTTCTAATCAACTTTGGAACCAGCGAACCGACAGCACTATAAGGGCTGCTGTGCATCAGGAATTCTGATGCCCAATTCTGCAACATGTAAGCATGCATAAAGGTGTTGGCGAGCACAACCCATCGTGGGATCACCAAACTGTTCTCTCATTGGTGCACCTTGACAGTTGGCTGCAGGGTTGCTAGCACTATTTGCAAACGGCCATTGAAAACCAACAAATGCGATGCTGTCTCCGCATCGGTATTCAGACATGACATGTGACACCACAATAGTTTTCAACATGTTTCTATATCAATAGATTTGTGCACTCGGCAAGCCAAGGCTGGGGTGAAGGGAACATTCATGAAGTTTACAAAATAATGAACATTCTTCCCAACGGCCAGGTGCCATGAACACTGTTTTTGATGGACCATTCAAGGGATACTGATTCATTCATGCACTCACCAACACAGCATATGCAATGTTATTTTTCATCCTAGTCGTGGCAACTTCAGGTGTGATGTCTTCGTCCCTCCATGTCCTCAGACACATGACGTCTGTTGCACTCTCCACCTCAAAAGCTGCTTTCCAGTTCAGGTTCCCTTCCTCGTATCCATGAAACTGCAAAGTGTAGTACGATGGGTACTCCACAGAGCAATTCTCGATTTCTGGAAAGATTTCATACACCTGCCAAAAAGGGGAAGACAGCTGTCATGTTGCACTCTTTGGTCCCATGCTGAAGCCCCTTTTCAGAGGCCCTCCAAACTACTGCACAGCTATTGCAGACCAGCGGGATCTGGGATCCTTACAATGCGCAATGCTCAGGGCCGCAAACCTTGCAAGCTGTGATGCAAAGCCCAAAGGGAACTGGTGTAAGTGGATATCTTCACTGTGTGGCGCCCTGTCTTCCAAAACAAGGGCGAATGCAAAAGGGTTGTCAACACCTGCTGCGCAAATAGCAACATATGCCCAGGAATGTGGCTCACAATTTTGGCTGTTGTTACAACATCCATGACACTCAACATCAGCCATCCTCGCTCATGAGCTAACGCAAATACGCACCTCTGACGCTTCCAAATCTTCGTACCTCCTCGTCCACGGCACGCCCTTCTTCTCCGCCGTCCTCTTAATCATCCCCTTTGCCATAATCTTCATGACGCCGAAGAGGGGGCTGCGAATGGCCAAATTCAACGCCCTGCTAAGACGACTATCCCCTGCCCAGTCGACAAGCAGCTTCAAAACTTGCGCAGCGCAGGCACCCCCACTGGTGTTTCTGCCACCGCTATCACGTCGTGCAACTGGCCGATGTGCCGAACCATGCCCCAGGACCACGATCAAAAGTCGGCAGAATGTTTATGCGCCCGCAATCGTTGCCATTCTGCAGGGTCTCTGCCCGGCATTCCCTAGGAAAAAAAGCAATCCGCGGAGTTTCCGCAGTCAGCCCCAAACCAAAACCGCAAAACGTCGCGCCCCATGACGCCCGGGCATCGCCCGCCCCACCGCCAGCCCCTCGTCAAATTCTCCACAAATGCAGCCACAGCCGACTCCCCGACAGGCCGCATGTCCGCCAACGCTGCGCCCCGTCCTGCATCCCGCATTCCGCACGATCGATCGCCTTTTACGGCTGAGAGCGATCCCCCCCGTTCGAACCTGACCAGGGAGGTTGGGACCTTTCCACAGCGGCCTGCCCCGACGTGGACGCCTGGGCGCGAGTCAGGCATCGCCCCAAGCGCGGCCCGGCGACGGCTCCCGGTGCCCCCAGCCGGGGCGGGAGTCGTCCGGTCGCCTCCATACCGCTCCCACAACCACCACAGCGGCTGCCAACGATCCCAGCAACGGATCTGGCCTTTTCAGGCGGCAGGGCTCGGTATAGTGCCCCGTGGTCGTTGCCGACGCCGCTTCCACGTCAATCGTCACTGAGCGGAAGTCGATGCGAAAGTTGCCAAAATGAATGATGGAATCTTCTATATCCCGAACCTCGCGGTTTTAGCTTTCCACAGCCACAACTCCCACCTTCATAGCCACGGCGTTTCGCAGGCTGCATTAAAAATCAGTGCGTGTGCCAGAAAATTAAAACATTTTCTTGCAAATTCAGAATCTTTTAAACCTTCACTCATAAAAGATTTTTTGGACAAAAATCTGCAACCGGATGCCTTGCACACCGTAGTGCATAAGGCGCCCACGGTGCGAAGGGTCGCGCCCACCAGCTGGCAGTCGATCACTTTTGCGCTGTCAGCCCTCCGATCTATCGATTGTGGCCATTCGCTGAGGCCGACCGCACGAAGGGCAGGCGGCCGGGCGCGGGGCCTAGGCGCCCGACGCGCGTCGCCGGACGCCCCTTTCCTCGCGACCCTGCAGACCCATCCCGGCGGGGCAAAAAGGCAATGATGAAGGCCGCCAATTCGCTTGCCTCCCGGGGATCTAAGCTCCTAGCTGGCGAGACGCCCTTCAGGTTGAATGGGGGTGCGCTGCATCAATCGCCCGCCCCGCGTCGGCGGCGCCTGGAGGTGCAGGACGCGGTGAAGGAGGTGTTCATGCCGGCGCTGAGCTCCACGATGACGGAGGGCAAGATCGTGTCGTGGCTCAAGTCGGAGGGCGACGAGATCAAGAAGGGGGAGGCGATCGTGGTGGTGGAGTCGGACAAGGCGGACATGGACGTCGAGTCCTTCAACGACGGCTTCCTGGGCTCCATCGTGGTGCCGGAAGGCGGCGTGGCCAACGTGGGGGAGGCCATCGCCTTCATCGCGGAGCAGGAGGCGGAGATGAAGGAAGCCAAGGCCAAGGCCGGGGGCGCCGCCCCTGCGGCCAAGCCCGCCGAGGCCGAGGCCCCCCCCCCGCCCTCTCCTCCCACCGCCAAACCTGAAGAAAACGCCGCGCCTGATGCCAAATCTGCACCTGCGCCACCCCCCCCCGCCCCCGCGCCAGCTCCCGTTGCCGCCGCGGTCGCGCGCACGGACGGCCGGATCATCGCCACGCCTTACGCCAAGAAGCTGGCCAAGCAGCTGAAGGTGGACCTGGCGGTGGTAGCCGGGTCGGGCCCCGCGGGGCGCATCACGGCGGCGGACGTGCAGGCCGCGACGTCGAACGGCGCCAAGGCGCCGGTGGCGGCCCCGGCCAAACCGGCGCCGAGCGCGCCGCCCGCGGGCGGATCTCCGGCGCCCGCCGCGCCCCCGCCGGCGGCCTCCACCACGGTGTCCGAGCTGAGGGGCACCACTGAGCCGATGAGCACGATGCAGCTGTCCGTGGCGCAGAACATGGTCAACAGCCTGCAGGTGGGCGGGCCGAAGGGGACAGACAGAGGAGGCGGCGAGCTTGATGCGCAGAGGGGAGAGGGCGGTTTGGCGCGGTCGCGTGCGGGGGGTTGGACCGCGCGGTGCCGTGCTGCCGGAGTGGTGCATTCGCGGATGCTAAACAGTTAGCAATGCCCTGCCAAAAACTTCCCAGAAAGTGTGCGGCTCTCATGGCAGGTCAACGCGATTGTCTATGTCTGCGCTGCTTGCGCCGATGGCACCTCCCAATTTGGAGTTCCCTGGCCTGGAGACCAGGTCCTGGGGCGTCCATCAGTTGTGTTCTGGCCCCGCCACCAAGTGTTTCGATCATCCTCTGCTTACCTGTTTGTCAACCTTTGCATGGGGCATTCTGCTACATACCATCGTTGTACTTGGATGACTGACCCAGCCGTTGTTTGCGTGTGTCCCAGGTGCCTGAGTTCCGCGTGTCGATGAAGATCACGACTGATGACCTGGACGCTCTGTACCAGACTCTCAAGCCACATGGTGTCACAATGACCACGTTGTTGGCAAAGGCGTGCGGTGTTGCCTTGGCACAGCATCCACTCCTGTTCTCAAGTAAGTTTCTTTGTCTATGTGTTCGTGGGGAAAAAGAAATAGCAAGGTTGAACAAACTGGTGGATGGACCAAGGTGCCCTATCACCTGAAAGTGGACGAGGGAAGTGCGATGCCACATTATGGCTAAATTTGATATAGCGCATCAATGACAAGTTCCATGGAGCTGCACAAAAGTGTACCCATGCCGTCAGCTCTTCCAACTGCGCTTCTTGCCTTCTCCCTTTGCTTGGGATTGTCGTGGTTGGCATAATCTGGGCACATCATTCGGCCTAGTGCAGTGGCAGCGGTCGCTGGTTCGATGCTGGTTTCCCCCAAGTTTTACAAGCACTCCACTCCTGGCAAAGCATCAACTTCGAAGTCTAAGCACGTGTGCTGTCTTTCAGAGCAATATTCAAGAGGGTGTTGGTGCAAGTTTCATGTTCTCTCTGCAAGCCCTGTTGCATTGTGTTTAGGTTGCTTTACATCGAGTTGATTGGTACTCGATCACAGCTGCTGTTGCATGGACGTCTTAAGCACTTTCGACTTCCACCGTTATTTGGATCCAATCTTGCTGTGTGGCAGCTTTCTGTTACCCAGCCATGGTGTGGCTTGCTTAGTTGCACCGCTTGACCCTTGGCTGACTTGCTGGGCTGGTGGATTGTGCCCCAATTTGGTAGAACTCTGAAAGTGGTGCTTGAGCTCTACCAGTGGTCAGGTCTGGAGTGTTTTTCTCATGCTGCCCCGCCATCACCGGAAAATTCCGTTGCAGATTGTGCTAGTCCTTGCTTTCATGTGTCCTTCAAACCTCCACTGTGATTTGGCCCAGAAGAATGCAGGAAAACGATTTCACGACTTGTGTTGGATGCCTTGTTACAGGCTGCACTCCAGATGGCAAGGGCATAACTTACAATGAGCACGTCAACGTTGCCGTCGCTGTTGCGATGCCTGATGGTGGTCTCATCACGCCCGTCCTGAAGGACTGTGACACGACGGACATATACACACTCTCCAGGGACTGGCGTGACCTCGTCAAGCGGAGCAGAGCCAAGAAGCTGGCCCCTGACGAGTACAACAGCGGGACCTTCACCCTGTCAAATTTGGGCATGTTCGGTGTGGAGTCATTTGATGCTATCCTGCCTTTCGGTGAGTTGTACCACTCCTGCTTAGCCTGACTCTTCCATTTGGAGATGGAAATGTGGATGTAGGATTTGGGACTTTACTGGACAAGCTATTCCTACTTGTATTTCTATTGGGTAGTTCATTGCCATTTGGATATTTCGTATTTCTGCAGGATGGACTTGTCCTTCACCACATCATTGCCTTCAAGGAGCAACAGCAATGCATTGGGACGAGCAACGATTGAAATCAGTGGATAGCAGGCTTCTGCTGGCAGATGTTGAGTGTATTCATGTGGACATCATACCCAACACCTGATTGGAGTCCACTGCCCACCACCCTTGTGAGACTGCTAAGTTCAAACCAGCACATTCTGATGCTTGCAAGTGGAGGTAGAAAACACGTTCCTGGCATTCAGGCAGTCATGAACATGGCCTGGGGAAGCGATGTGTGGCCTACTGTTGTTTTGCCTCTCTTGGTCCTAACCGCCTGTACTGTTTGACGTTGCCCTTCGTCATCTTGGATGTGGGAGCTATGGTTGACAAATTAGCCACTTACGGCAGATGCAGACTAGCAGTGAATGCCAGGACCTTTCTGACAAACGTACCTGCCTCCCGATCTCCCCACCCCATATGTGTGTCTTTCTCTTGGCTGACATGCATTGTGGCATGTGAGTCAGCATCATCGCCTATCAGGTGCAAGGACTGTGCTGTGTCAACGTACGGCGAATAAAGTCAAAAGGAACTTCAGTTGGGGTGGCAACTGAGGCATGAAAAGGGCCTAAATGCAAGTGTAGTGCCAGATCACATGTTATCACATGCGTAGATAGAATGGTGCTGATGTGTTGCCTTTGTGGGTCTCAGGCTCCTCCGCAATCTTGGGTATCGCGGGCAGCCAGCCTTGCGTTGTGGCCACCGAGGACGGGATGATCTGCGTGAAGAAGCAAATGACTGTCAACATGACCTGCGACCACCGGGTAGTGTACGGTGCCCAGGCGGCAGAATTCCTGCAGACGCTCAAAGGCATCATCGAGAGCCCTGAGCTGCTGACCTTGTAGGCGCCACAGCCACAGGCATAAAATACCGCTAACTGCCAGTCGACGTCCTGACAGGCACGCTCTCAGGCTAAAGGAAGCCATTTAGCAGGGTGTTTGGGACCTAATCCCGGTGTCTGGCGCAGGAGACACCTCGCTGATGGGCGATCTGGTGCAAAAGCGAGTTGGGATAGCGTCGGGCGTCCTGTGGCAAAATGAACAGCTGGAATCCAGCAGCTCGGTGCGCAGTTTTGTTGTGCTTGTGAACTGGCATTTGCGCATTAATATAGATTTATTGCTCTGGGATGAGTACGGCCCAACCCAGGTGGGCCGAACTTGCCAGTGGCACCTTGCGCAGGCAAGTGACGCAGTTCTTTCTTGCAAAGGACAACAGGACTCGGTGTGCGGGAGCCTGAACGTTACAAATGTATCACGGGCACCCAAATCAATGGAGTGCACACCCGAGAGTCATGCACATCGCCCGCCTTGAAACAGCTGACTGGCCCAGAAAAGCGGCGGCCTTCACGAGCTGTCACGAACAGTCATCTGCGGGCGTTCTTCTGGGGCATGTTCTCCGCAGATCACAACGTACAGACTTGAATCCGAACACTTGAATACTGAAAAAGAAGGTCAACAGGTCCCTAAGAAAATGTGGAGGCGTGTTTGCCTCTTTCACTCACACGGGCTGCACCAGTGGGCGCCGTCGGGGCCCCCTTCGGGGAACATGAGAATTCCACATTTCGATCGACAAGAAACGTGGGAAGCGCCATGTATTGGAGTGGGTGCCACCACGTGGGATTCCACGGTGTGCACGACCGGCACCCTCACAGCCGGCGAACTGACCAACAAGGAATTTTGGCTGGTCATCAAGCGGTGACTCAACGAGGCCATCGCGTGTGTGTGAGCCACGTGAGGCCACGTCGGACGTCCAGAGAATCGTGCCGCCAGGGTGTGGGGAAAGAGAGATACACGGAGATGCACTGGCGATGTGATGTGCCAAGTTAATTGATTGGACCACACTGCAAGTTGAGGTCGGCAGGTGGGTGCCTGATGCCGCACCTTTGCTGCACCGCCGCGCAGCGCGGCGCGGCTTGCAATTGTGTGCTGGGGTTGACAAATCTGTGCCGTTCATCAGTGCGCTATGCCATACTGTTGGTTTACAAACTTTTCTGCATAGTAACGTAAAGCTTGGCCTTTATTGCAGAGAAAACAATAAAATAAGTAACGCTCTTTTAGTAGAATTTGTGTGGAGCAGCGTAAACACAATAAAAATAATGCTCTGAAAAGCAAAATGCGGGGCAAAAAGTGCAAAGTTAGAATTTTCCGTGGCAGAAGGCTACAAAAACCTACAGTGTGGACAGGTCCCACAGCTTTGGACATGGGGCGATGGGTGGTCGTCAGTTGTCACACCCATGTGGGATACGGGCCGGAGATTTGGGGGTAGGCGTTGTTGGCATCGACTCAGTGCTGTGGCATTGTGAAATGGGGGATGTTTCGCCACGGCTGTGGACCGCACATGCAAAGCAACAAGCTAAATTGCGCCCAACAGGCGTGTTGGCGTCCACCAAGTGCTTTGGTACTGTGGAAGACGGGAAGTTTGGCCACAGCCATGCGCAGTACATGTGGACCAGTAAACTGACTCCCGACTACAAGTTTCCCAGGCCAACTGGCTTGTTGGCACCCACTGGGTGCGGTGGTGTTTGTGAAGGGCGGAAATTTGGCCAGTGCTGTCGATCGTACATGCAGAGCAGCAAACTCAAAGTGCAGACCGCCTTAGTTTCGTGCCAACACGCTTGGAGCAAACTGAGGCACAGGAGAGTTCGCACCAAATTTGTGGTATGCCGCAATCCCTTGATCTTGTCAACAGCAAAAGGGGTGGTTCTGAATCAGCGCATTCGATGTCCACTGTACACAACGCCAATTTTGTCCATCCGGAAAAGTGCCCCCTACAGGACAAAATGCAATAATGTCCTCACTAAATGAAATGGTGTGCGTCTCTCCCATAAAATGGTCTGCATTTCCGCCTTACCGGTCTCCTGAGCCCACCCAGTCATGTACCCCCATGACAACACTAACAAATTCACCACTTACTCAATGTATCATACCCAAGGTTCCCATCCTTGAAGTTTGCCTTCGCTTTGCTGGTACTTAACGCCACTCAGCCAGTTACTCCCCCCATGAGTCAGCTCCCTAATCCTGCACTTCACTCCCTTCACTCCCTCACCATCCCACAACTAAACCGAGCACTACTTTTGAGGGTGGGAGGGCTGGGCGCGAAACAAGATAAGGAGGGGGACCGAGGAGGGAGCCTAAATAGCCGCCCCTGCTATGCCCCGCCAAAGCTCGCCAAATCCGAGGGCGCCAAGTTGGCAGCACCTCGTATTTTCGTACTTTGACTCACCCACAATATTAAGATGGCCAAAAATCCCAGGGGACGGGGGCTATGTGAGCCTCAGGTTGAAATTGTGTCTTTGAATCACTCGGCATAGCCCACCCATCGTCTCCCTTGGCAGAAACCCATTAATAGGATAGTCAATTTCATGGGAAAATGACAAAAGGGGGTCCTCTGCGAGATATCTTGACAAAAGGGGGTCCTCTGCAGGGGTGCATTTGACAAAAGGGGGTCCTCTGACCGCCCCTTGTACATTAGGTGCGTTGCTAGACCGGCGCTAGAGTAGCGCCAGACTGACGCCGTACTGGCACCGGTTTGGCGCCAGACCGGACCACCGTCCTACTAGGGGCGACCCCTTTGGGAGGGCACTGGGAGCGCGCAACGGTTGGAGCTGTGGGAGGAAGTCATAGCGATCGGAGCAGAGGTTGCAGTGGGGGAGACCAAGCGGCGATCGGGGATTTGGGGAGAGCAAGCGTTCCGATCTGTGCGACTCTCTCCTGAAGCTCCAATCGCCACTAGATCTCCCAAGCAACTCCGATCACCCCTTGCTTTCACTACAGCTCCAGTCGCCGCTTGCTTTCCTTGCAGGCCTGATCGCTACTTAGTCTCCTCTGCTGCGGCCGCAGCTCCGATCGCTACGACTCCCTGCGCCCTCCCAGAGGGGTCGCCCCTAGTAGTACTGTGGTCCGCTCTGGAGCCAAACCGGTGCCAGTACGGCGTCAGTCTGGCGCTGGCCTGGCGCCGGTGTGGCAACGCATTTAATGCATAGGGGCCAGTCAGAGGACCCCTTTTTGTCATAGAAGACCCCTTTTTGTCAAGATATCTCATAGAGGACCCCCTCTTGTCATTTTCCCTAATTTCATTTTTGCCTTACCGGTCTCCTGAGCTGTCGCAGCCCCATCGGCAGCCGCCGGTGTCCGGAGGCGATGGGGTTGCCCTACAGCTCGGCCATGGTAGGTTGGCCGGCCCTCTCCACCTTGGACAGTGGGCGTATCTAGGGCAGTCGCTTCTGTGGTCGTGCGATGGGCCCAATGCTCGACGGGGATTGATTACCAGGGCCTGTTGTTGGCGAGAGGTGGCTGCCCAGCTGGGTGGTGGTTTGTTGGCTCGGGGGAGGCCAGTGTGGTGTAAAGCACAGGGGGTAGTATGTTTCTCTAGCAATTGGATTACTGGGAGGCTAAAGTACAATGAACAATGTGATTGAATATTTCATATTGATAGTAGAGTCCATTAAGAACTCTTAGGTTCTTGAACCACCTCCATTAGGTCAGCGGTGGAGGAGTTATTGATAGATATATATCTAGTATTTTAAACACCTTCTGCCGGACCGTATTGGGGGATGAGATATTATTGTTGTGCCCAGCGGCCGCATTGTCACGTGATCCAGGCGGAGGCCACCACCTCAAAGGGGGGACCTCCTGTCAGACTGTAATACTCCGTTTCTCTCGCCCACTCGTGCACCCAGCGGCTGCACCCGCGAGCCGCACGGCGCCGCGCACCCACTGCGCGCCCAGCCGCCCCGCGCCTGGCTATCCACAGGCCTGGGCCCACACTGCGCACCCCGAAGGAGCGAGCGCCCCAGACAACCCGCCGGTCATCTAGCGGAGGAGGCCCATCTGGGCCGAATTGGGCGCCGCGGCGGGAGCCTTGCCCGCATCGAACCGAAAACCACGCCAAGTGGTTTCGGAGCCAGCGGGCGCGGACGGCAGAAGCGTGCCATGTGGCACGAGAGCACAAGGGGGGGGCCTATCCCGTCCGAGGGGGGTCCCCATCCGGGAGATCCGAGGAGAAGCGGCCGGCCAGGCACCCCGCGAGGGTGCCTGAATCGGCCAGGAGGACGCTGCGTGCCCGGCCCCACAGAGGGAGGCGCATTATTTTGCTGTTTTCGCGACGGTTCCGGGCGAGTGCAGGGGGGAGCATTACCCCGCGAGATCGCCGCGGTTGGAGGCGGGGGGTGG